AAAATTACCATTGGTGTCAAAGATCTTGGAAAAAACAGTTGCAGAACAACTTAACAACTTTTTGGAAAAGAACAATGTTCTGGACATTTTCCAGTCTGGTTTCTGCAAATTGCACTCCACTGAAACCGCTTTGCTTAAAGTGTCTAGTGACATTCTGATGGCAGCAGACTCTGGAGAGTACACTGTTCTGGTTATGTTGGATCTCAGCTCTGCTTTTGATACTGTTGATCACAGCATCATGATAAATAGGCTGAAGGACTTGTTTGGGATTACTGGTGTTGTTTTAAAATGGTTTATGTCGTATCTATCTGAGAGATCCTTTACTGTCTGTATAAATCATGTGCTGTCAGAAACATCAGTTCTGTCTTCTGGGGTACCTCAAGGATCTGTTTTAGGTCCTATTCTCTTTTTGCTGTATATACTCCCTCTAGGCCACATTATCAGACATTACAATAATATTTCTTATCATCTCTATGCTGATGACATTCAGTTGTACTGTTCTTTCAAAGCTTCTGAGTTATATAAATTGTCTTGTTTAAATAATTGTCTGTCAGAAATCAAACAATGGTTAAATGACAATTTCCTTCAGTTAAATGCAGATAAAACAGAAACCTTGATTATTGCACCTGATCACATGCTCTCAGAAATTAGGCAGCATATCAGTTTTTTAGACCCTTCATTTCAGTCGAGTCTCAGAAACTTAGGTGTTATATTTGACAGTTCAATGTCTCTTGAGAAACACTCTAAACAACTTGCCCGGAACTGTTTTTATCATCTAAGAAACATTTCTAAACTCAGGCTACTGGTGTGAAAGGCAGAACTTGAGATGATTCTTCATGCTTTTATCTCTTCTCGTTTGGATTATTGTAACGGTCTTTTTACGTGTCTCAACAAATCAGCTCTGGATCGCCTTCAGTCTGTACAGAATGCAGCGGCAAGACTTTTAACTGGTACAAACAAGAGGTCACACATTACTCCAGTTTTGGCTTCTCTTCATTGGTTGCCTGTAAATTTTAGGGTTCATTTTAAAATTTTAGTTGTAACTTTTAGAGCTCTGCACAGTGAAACCCGTGCACTGATTTATCACAGAGTGGTGAAGGTTACAGCTATCGGCCGCATCACTTATCAAATCAATCAAATGTTTGGTTTGTAAAATGAGGTTTGAGTTGACTTTATTTATTTTGTCTTACAAGACGCAAACAAACCTAAAATGTTCCTATAAACTGTTTGAAAATATAAAATTCAGTGATTTGTAGGTCAGCCAATTGATTAGACAGCAGCTGATGAAGAAGGCGTGTCTGAGCTCTGGTGTGCGGTGTGATGTCACATGAGTATGTAACTCTGGTCTGTGTCTCTGCAGCTAACTCGGGCTCTCTGCAGGGTCCAAACACCCCTCAGTCCAGCAGCAGCTCCCTGACCGATGCCCCCGGAGACCTGAAGCCCCCGACCCCCGCCTCCACCCCGCAGAGCCACATGGCCCCCCAGCCTGGAAACAGGTAGGGGCAGAGCTTCAGTGTTAAACACACCTGAGCAAACTGCACATGAAGAACATGAAGAAGCCACAACAGAGTGGAACTTAAAGGTTTTCGTTCGCATCACGATTGCACAGCTGCAACTGTGATGCCTCCGAATTACACATCAGGCTCAGTCTGTTGGTGCAGTAACCTCACAGGCGCCATGTTATTGGTCACATGATGTCACTAAAAAGGCTCCAGAAGGACCAGCTCAGGTGAAGCTAGCAGACAGCTAGCAGTTACAGCTGCCTCTGTTGCCATCCATCTGCAGGTTTTATGCTGCGTGTGGAGGTAATGATGTGAACCCGAACACTTTCATGTGACTCTCATGTCTGTGTTTTATGTTTAGGAGCGTGGGAGGAGTCAGTGTGCAGGACCCATTCTCTGAGGGTAGCGATCCAGCCTTCCACAGCAAACGAGGCCTGGGACCCGGCGGTGCTCCCTACCAGCAGGGAGGTGGTCCAGGAGACACTATGAGGATGCAGTATGATGCCAACAAAGACCCTTATGGAGGAGTGAGGAAGGGTGAGGAGGGAAGAACTGAGGATGACGTGTTTGTTTGAGAACCAGGAACACTGATAACACTTTGTGTTTTCAAGAAGCAGTAATCCATGCAGTTCTACTGTATTTAGTCCACTGCTTCCCCCTGGTGGTTGAAGCTTGAACTTTCAGTCTGACTGCAGTCTGACTGCAGGAGCTGCTGCAGATTACATCACATTATCGTACATCACCACCGAGCCAGTTTCACATCAGGGTTCATAGTTTAACACATAGCTCAGGATCAGTGTGTCTTTCTGGGGTTCACAGCAGGTTTTTGATTCTGCCGTCAGGTCCGGGTCCCGGCGAGGCCTTCAGTCCCGGTCAGATGCCCAGCGGTGGAGCCATGCAGGACATGTACCACCGTGGGCCACCCTCTGGACCGCTGGCAGGGATGGGCCCCAGACCCCAGTACTCCTACAGCCCCGGCTATGAGCGCAGGTGAGATTCTGCTCAAGATTTAAAGAAGCGTTAGCCCCACTCAGCCACTGTATTCCCACCAGTTAGACTAAAAACAAATGTCTTTCGTGTTTCACAGGAGTCCAGTTTTTCTGAATGTATTTAAAATCTATGAATGAAAAAGTGCACATAACTGTGAGTGATTCAGTTTTGCCCTGCAGCACGTCTGCTGTTTGTACACACACAGTTTGGTTTCTTTTTGTTTGTATTAAAAAGTTTAGCCGTGTAACTGTTTATCATCATGGCACTGTCAACTCTATGAACCAATTATTAAAAATGTTTTAGAAGAAGAAATAATCTCAAAGTGCAAACAAGGCTTTAAAAAAGTCTTAGGTGACAACTTTAAACACGGGAAACCAGCTGAAGTGTCTCTACTGCAGGAGTTCACCTGTTTGTTTCCCACAGGCCGGAACATGCGATGGGCCCTGAGGGAGGCATGGCGCCCCCCGGAGGCCAGAACAGCATGGGTCCGTCTGCAAACGAAGCCAGCATGTTTCCCACCAACAGATTCCCCCACCAGAGGTGAGAGCGTGGATGTAACCAACCCTCAATTATAGAGCTTTCATGTGATGTCATCTTTGTCATTTGTGTGACACTGTCTGTTCACGGGAGATTTGCTCCAAATATCAGATCATAGTCTAAACCCGGCCAAGTTTAAACAGTTTAACATGATTATGTGATCATTTAAGTTTCCTTTGTTGGCTCTTCAGGCACGGCCATGACGGTTATGGGCAGCAGTATCCTCACGGCATGGCCTACAGTTCCCATCAGTCCCTGTACCCTCAGCAGCAGGTAAGCGCCTCCTAAACGAGTCCCGATTGGTGTGATAAATCACGTCACTGAGGGGTCTGGGGGTACTTCAGGTCTGGATTCATTTCTGGTGTTTGTCTGCAGGGATACAAGCGTCCAATGGAGGGGATGTACCCGCCAGCGAAGCGTCACGAGGGCGAGGCGTTCGGCGTGCAGCAGTATGGCTCTCAGCAGCCCGACATGTTCCCCGTCTATGGGGGAGGAGGTGGGGGCTACATGGGCCCTGAGCGCCGGCCCATCCAGGGCCAGTACCCGTATCCTTACAGTCGCGACCGCCAGGGCCCCCCGCAGCACAGCATGATGAGCTCAGGGCCGGCGGCGGTGTCTGGGGGGTCCGGGGAAGTGCCGCAGGCCAACATGTGGCACCCCAGGACAGATATGGGCTATACGTACAGCCGGCAGGGTCAGGGACCCGCCTATCGAGGGGATGACCAGGAGAGCAGGGCTCCACAGGACGACCAGTGGGCCCCCGGTCACCCGAGCCAGCGCCAGACTCCATACCCCCCCCACTCTTCAGCCGCCAGCGCCACCTCCATTCCTCCTCTGCCCTCCAGACAGCCTCCCGCTTCTTTCCAGGCCACACCCACCATCCCCAACCACGTGACTCGCTCTCATAGCCCCTCCACATTTCCCCGGCCCATGGGGAGCTCGCTGTCACCCAACAGCGCACCCTACCTTCCCTCCATGAAGAAACCACCAGTGCTGGGAGCGCCGCAGGGACCGCTGACCTCTCAAACCGTCTCACTCATCAACAGGGAGGTCAGTTTCCCCCATGGCTCTGTGGAGGCCACGCCCCCCAAACTGAAACCACGGCGACGGCTGACCGCTAAGGACACAGGTGCGGCACACACACAGAGACACACACATCAGAGGGAGTTGTTTCTTCTTCAGGTTTTCATTCAGCCGGCAGGCAGCCGGGGTCAGCTGACACTCACTCTGTGCTGTTATTGGTCAGGAACCCCAGAGGCGTGGCGGGTGATGATGTCACTGAAGTCTGGCTTGTTAGCAGAGAGCACATGGGCATTGGACACCATCAACATCCTGCTGTACGATGACAGCACCGTCGGCTCCTTTAGCCTCCCGCAGGTCAGACCCTCATCTTCCTCACTGCTCATCGTCCGTGTGTCTGATGTCTGTCAGTCTGACCTTTCTCCTCTTCCTCCTGCAGCTGCCGGGCTTCCTGGAGCTCATTGTGGAGTTTTACCGCCGCTGCCTGATCCAGATCTTCGGCATCCTCAAGGAATATGAAGTGGGAACTGTGAGGCAGGGTTCCCTGCTGGGGCCCCTCCCTGAGGAGGAGGAGGTGACAGAGGAGCTGCTAGCCGCTGCGTCAGAATCCAACGGCCAGACAGCGTTGGAGCAGAAGATTCAGAGGTGGTCAGCTGAGCAGGCGGAGGACATGCCGCCACCGCTGCTCATGCCTTCTGAGGAGGAGGTGAAAGAACCTGTGGTCAAAGAAGAAGCACAGGTGAAGGAGGAGGAGCACATGGAGGAAGCAGAGGCCCGCCTCCAGCAGGCCAGCAAGTACGACAAGCTGCCAATCAGGGTTGAGACCGGCGATGGGTGGGAGGAGGTGGAGGAGCGCTGGGCCAAGTTGAACCAACCCAATGGCTTCATCAGCGGCCTCCTCCACTGGAAGGCCGGAGGAGGAGACTCCACCACTCACATCCTGACACACTTCGAGTCCCGCACAGGAGACTTTGTCCCTCTGCACCCACCCGAGTGGGAAGAGAATGCAGAGGGACAAGAGGGTGAAACAGGCAAGGAAGAGCTGGGCGGAGGAGAAGAGCAAAACCAGCCAGACGGAGGAGAAGGTAAGACCTGAAGAGAGGAGATATGGACATTTATCAATATTATCACCAATAAAATGATTCAAGTGATTATTGATTGTCAGACTTTAAAGGAAACTTTTTATCACCTTAATCCTGAAACTGTGCATCCTCTAACTTTCTTACATTTTGCAATTTCACATCTACAATAAATAAAAAATACATAAAATTATATAATTTAGTGACGGAGGAATAAAGTTACATTAAATACAAATTTTACATTTCTAAAAAATTTTATGTCACAGTATTTAAATTTTTTAAATTTTTCTTTAATTGCAAATTTTTAGTACTTAACATCATGAAGTTATGACTTGTTTCTCAATTTTAATTTGATGGAACATTATGTTTTGACATTTATAAATTTACATTTTTTGCAATTTAAAAAAAAAATTCAATTAATTTTTAAAAATCTACAATTTGTTCCACCATTAGGTGTCTCTGTTGCCCCTTTAATCTCACTCTGCTCTCTTTGTCCGCTCAGAGGTCAGAGGTCAGGATTCACAAGCTCAGAGTCCCATCAGCCAGCTGGAGGATGAGCCTCGCTGCTGGGATGAGGCCCCGCTGTCCACCGCTGAGCCGTGGCAGGACGCGCTAGCCAAACGCTGCGTCTGCATCTCCAACATCGTGCGCGGCCTCTCCTTTGTGCCCGGGAACGACGCCATGCTATCACGGCATCCTGGGCTGGTGCTGATCCTGGGCCGGCTTGTGCTGCTGCACCACCGCCACCCCCGCAGGAAACGGACTCCGCCCACCTACCAGCGGGAGGAGGAGCAAGGTCTGGCGTGCAGCCGGGACGAGTGGTGGTGGGACTGCCTGGCGGCGCTTAGGGAGAACACACTGGTGACGCTGGCCAACATCTCGGGCCAGCTGGATCTGTCACTGTACCCAGAGAGCATCTGCCTGCCTATCCTGGACGGGCTACTGCACTGGATCGTGTGCCCATCTGCCGAGGCGCAGGACCCGTTCTCCACGATGGGCGGCTTCTCGTCACTCACGCCACAGAGACTCGTGTTGGAGTGTTTGTGCAAGCTGAGCATTAAGGACTGCAACGTGGACCTGCTGCTCGCCACGCCGCCCTTTATTCGCCAGCAGAAGCTCTTCTCCACACTGGTGCGTTTGGTGGGCGAAAGGAAGAGTCAGGTGTGCCGGGAGATGGCAGTGGCTGTGCTGTCCAACCTTGCGCAGGGCGACCCCACGGCGGCAAGGGCGGTTGCCCAACAAAAAGGCAGTGTGGGCACACTCATTGGCTTCCTGGAGGACTGTGTGGCCATGGCCCAGTACCAGCAGAACCCGCACAGCCTGCTGCACACTGCTGTGCCGCCAGAGCCGCCCAGCATCAACATGATGTGCCGCGCCGCCAAAGCATTGCTGGCCATGGCACGGGTAGAGGAGAACCGGACGGACTTTGTTCTATATGAGAGCCGGCTGCTCGACATCTCACTGTCATCCGCACTCAACTCCTCTGTGGCGGCCATCATGTGTGAAGTACTGTTTAAAATCGGCCACTCATGACACAAACACCACCACGGAGCGTGCTCAGTAGCACTGTAAGCAGCTCCGCCCATGTGACAAACTGGCTCCTATTATATTTTTATTTAAGAACAGAAAAGAAATGTTTTTACATACAAATGAATATATATAGAATCTATAAAGCTCCGACTCCATCTGCAAATGTTTGTTTGGAATTTTTAAGTAATTTTAATACAAAATATTTAATACTTGTATTTTTAATTTTCTAATTGTTTCGTCGGTTTCTTGTTTCGTTTGAACCAAAGTGTGACGGTGGCTCGGGTTCCGGCTCTCTTCAATGGTTTTTTTTAAACATTTGTGGTTGTTCCTTTCTGTTTGCAAGGATGTTTGGGGGGGCAGGGTTATTTAAATAGTGTTGTAGATAGGTCTTTTTTGTTTTTTCTCACGTGGTATGACAGAGGAAATACTGATGTTCAGTCACGTACTTTGTTCTGGTGCAATATGTTTGCTTGGGCGTTTTTTTTTTATGTGAATTATTTGACCATCTGCCGTTTGACCATCAGTATTTTTGCCGAACCACAGCAGTATCAGCCAATGGGTTTTTAAGAACTTTGTTTTGTCCACCAATCAGATCCCTCCACCGTCATCCTCCTCCTGTAAATAGTTGATGTGCATTGAGCTCCAGAAGATGGCGTCCCGACTCTCTATGAATTTATAATCACAACTCTGAACATTCGAGTTTCTGTATTTAAGGACAAAAAAACTCATCTTCAGGATGTTTCATGGGGTCTGATCTGACAGGGTGTGTTTGATTTGAGAGACTGTATGTACAGGAGGTACGGGGGTCAGTTGGGGCAGGGCAGGCAGAACTGTACTTATATCATGTTGCTGACATCAAAACAGTTATAAGAAATGTAAAGAGAGAGGAAAAAAAGAAAATCTCTACATCCAGAATGTCTCCTGTTTGATTTGACAGATGCTGTTTCTTCAGTATGAGATCTTTATATGTTCCACGACATGTTAAAGAATAAATGTACATGAACTCTGGTTGAGCACTGTGAGCGCAGCTCTGAGCTTGTTTACTTTGGCCTTAATTTGGTGCTGACTTTCATGTAGGACCTAAAAGAACCACATTACACCAGTACATCTGATAGATTTTAGTTTGTTGAACAAGGAGCCACAAAAGTTAGCTGTGGAGTTCCCCTTGGCTCTGTGCTGGGACCTCTACTTTTATTAGAAAAACAGATATCCATGGCTACGCAGACGTTATAAATTCATACAGCAGCTGAGAATGCAGCATGTACAAACTGTATACTGGAGTACCAGCATGACGAAGAAACAGATAACTTGGATGTGATGAAGCTGCTGCTGTCAGATACATGCTGTGTATGCTAAGCTAACCTTAGCGTGCTGATTGACGCTGTCAACATCCTGAGTACTTTGAATAGAAATTAGTTGAGGCTTCAGAGCGATACATAAAGAAAAAGGTGCAAAGAGCACATTTCATTAGTGATTTCTGTTGTAAAAGAATAACTGACTGCAGCTGCTCAATATTAACTGCATTTATCTTTTCCTTAAATATTTCAACTCCACTGAACGTTTTCTCAACCTCTTATTCCTGATTTTGATCCTTTCACACAGTATTTTCAGAAATGTTCTACCTTCTTTACATTCATCTCACAGCTTTGAACACTGCCAGCAGCAGAAAACACAAAGAAAGCAGCAACTCAGAATGAAATTATAGAATCACATTCAGAGAAAAATATCATTTCCATGGTCTTTACTAGAACTGCTTCCATCGGTGGGGAAAACTAATCAGAACTCAGTCTGTTCGTCTTACAGCTGATCCATTTTCGACAAGCTGGAACCAAATTAGAACCAAACTGGGAGCAAAGTGGTTCGTAGGTTCATTCGGCTCCTCCATTGCTTCCAGAAAAAAACAAAAAGCTGCCAAGTGTCTGAGAAACGCCGGCGTACACGTTCGATTTCACCCCACTGATGATTTGAGTCACTTCGACTTGAAGACTGCATCCCAGTCCAGAGGTTCAGATCCAGCTATGTCGCTCTTTGGGATGGACGGGAAGAAGGACTGCATCTTCTGTCTGAACTCTGGGAGCTGAAACATTATACCAACAAAAAAGAAAAAACAGAAAGACAAGAATGAGAACTTTTCATATTCTTTCAGTAAATTGAATATTTGATAACATTAAAATGTGCAATTATTTTATTTTTCTAAATAATTTAATTTTACAACTTGATTTTTCTTTATTAAGAAAGTTTTAATTAGTTTAGTTTTACGAAGTCTAACTTTCTCATCTACATCAACTACTCTCTCTTTAGACCTTTTTTTTTACTTTAACAACTAAAATTCGTTCTCAGAATTTTAGTTCAACACTTTCTTCTGAAAATGTTTCAAACATTATGTCCAAATTGTAATTTTATTGGTAGGATTGTAGAAATTATTCATAAATAAATTGCCTTTATTTCACAAAATTTATTTTTCTTCCTCTCAGAGACTATAATCCTTAAAGAAAAGTTCAGGTAAAGAGGTGATAAAATCCTGACTGAATAAAGCTCATTATTTATGAAATAAACATAAAAGTCAGCACTGAGCCGTTTGCAGGTACATACGCTGTGAACGCCGAGGACTTTCCACACGCTGAAGCCGAGCAGGCCTACTCCACACCAGGCGAACAGCGAGCCCCACCCCAGAGCTCTGAGGGCCAGAGATGCGCCGCTCTCCGGGACTGCCGCCGTCGCTGTGACGCCCTGAACAGGAAACAAGCAGGGAAAAAATCTGACATCAGGTTTTACAGCTGCATTTGGTCTTACGGGAATTCTCCAAAAGTTGATTCTGTTCATCTGGACGTAGCGTTTTCAGTGGGAGAAACGTTTCCCCGTTTCTTACGGGAATTATTTCTCCCAGAAGCTGTGAAATTACTTTTACAGCCAAAAACATGAGGGAATTCAACAAATAGCTGAAACGGACGTTAAAGTGTCAGCTGCATGTCCGGTTGGTGGAGCGGAGTGAGGTCATCCTCTCTGTCACATGATGGAGGAATCTGAACTGTGCTGAACCAAACTGGAACAATTCCAACAAACATGAACCCCTTCCAGCAGCTCACAGATAAATATCACAGAATCACAGAAACGTTTTTGCAGCATGTCCTGGACTGCGTCAGCTCTCGGTCTGTGCCGTCCCTCCACATCACTTCCTGCTGCATCCTGAAGCCCGGTTCGATCACATGTGGTCCGAGCGTGGCAATCTCTCTCGTTTTAACGCATCAGCTCCCGGTGCTCCCTCTCGCCGAGCTCATCCGCTTCACACCTCATGATGATCGCTTGGACGGCTCCAGCTCTAAAAGAAAAACATCTCTGTAGCTCCTCGAGGCTAACTGGCCTAGCAGTAGGAGTGGCAGCACGATCTCCTCGTTAAGCTTCTCTGGGGCCAAGAGTGCAATGTAAAGCAAAAAAAAAAAACTATAGTAGATCTGTAAAACCTGTCTTTATAGAAAAATAAGTAACTTTCACCCTCAGAGTGAGCAAAAAAAATCCAAGAGCTGCTGCTGAAGGTCGCCAATCAGACAAACCTGAAGGGTTCTCGAAAACTAACTTCAGCTCTTCACTCAGGTGTTTTGGTGACTCATGGCTAACAGGTGCTTGAAGCTCTGAGTGACATCAGGTTAACTCCTTCAGTGTGAAAATGACCCATACAATCGCCATGAACTGCAATAGTGTTACACCTTTATCTCGTTTTAATGGATGCTCCAGTGCTCGGGTTCTCCAATTCTTCAACAGTTTGGTGCTGGTGGCCATTATTTCCTCAGAAGGAAATCTGAGGAAAAAATAAAAGCTCATCTGTGCAAGATGTTCTCTACACACCTCCATCACCTCCCTGAAGGATTTACAACCTCCATGTTTGAGGACAGGAAGCACAGCTGACGTCTTTCCTTTTCAGCTGAAACGGAGTAAAAGCTGCACTTTAATGACCTCAACCCTCTAATCAGATTTTACATTTCCTAACTGAAGCTCAGCCTGAGGCTTCGATTCAGAGACGACCACAAAGACGAGTCTGTAACTGAAATAGATCCGTCTGTGCTTCCACGCCAAGTTTATCTCACATGTGCGTCAGCATTAATCGGATCCCGCCAGTCGCCAATAACTCAAACAGCTGTGGCCGCCACGCGCCAGGACTTCACGGAAAGTCTATTTTCAGGTCGAGACGAGTCAGGAGGGAAGGCGGACGTCATCGCAGATGTGCGGACAGCCATCGATTGTCTTCAGGAGGCTGAGGCCGTAAACAAGCTGCTGTTAGCATCGGTAGCTTCTCACGCAAGCACCGCTGAAACCTCCGAATGGATGGGAAAAGGACCGGAAGTAGTGTGTGCCATCCATCAGATCCTCAGTCCAGCTACATTTTCAAGTTAAAATATCCACAATTTTTAAGTTTCCAAAGACTGATGATTAGCCTCAGCTCAATAAAATTATAAATACTGCCGGCGCTGCCTCCAAGTAGACACACCTACGGCATTAATTTCAAAATCCTGCATCATCGTATCGCATTCACAACATTTTAGGGAAACTGGACGTCTGACCTTGAGGTCGATGTCGAGGTCACTGAGATTTGAAATTTAGTAGACAACAATTTGAAGCATCTACGTCGCCTCGTTTTTCACAAACGTTGGTGTCCACGCCGCCCACCCGCCGGGTGACAACGTTACTCCTACCTTTTAACAAGTGAAAAATGTGGAGATTCTCTGTGAGGTTCTGCAGTTAGAACGTTTTCCTGCTGTTTCTCAGAGGATTTATAGATGTTTATTAGTGATGACAATCTACAAATGTGTGCTTCATGAATGAGTTTCTGACTGAGTTATGATTCTGAGAGAGAAACAAACACCTGCACTGTGAGCTCAGGTTAAGTTTACCTTGTTGAACCACTCTGGGCTTTTCTTCTTGGCGAGCGCCAATGTGGAGCCGAATCCTGCGATCATCCCTGCGGACGCCACCGTAGTCAGAAATGCTGCACCTGCACACAGGAAGTGATCTCACTCAGGTGAGAAATCGCCACAAGTTCACAACCACTCCATTAAAGCAGACACAGGACATGCTTCTACATGTAGCTTCTCAAATGTAAACAGCAAAAAACCTTTAGGAGGAAGAGTTAGAGTGGCTAACAGGTGCCACTCTGAAATTTCACCTTACAGTCTGAATCTTTTTGCACAGCTGCTGATGTACAGGGTGGGCCATTTATATGGATACATCATAATAAAATGGAAATGGTTGGTGATATTAAAGTCCTGTTTGTGGCACATTAGTATATGTGAGGGGGCAAACTCCTCAAGATGGGTGGTGACCATGGTGGCCATTT